TCAAAAGAATAATGAAAAAGAAAGCCCTGATCAAAAACTCGCTGATAATAAAAAGCAAAAAAAGAAAAAAGGTGCACAAAAAAAGAATGGTAATTTGTCAACAAATGATGAGGAGAAAAATGAAGCCGGTTCATCTAAATCACCCAAATCATCTAAATCGCCCAAATCACTTAAATCACCCAAATCATCTAAATCACCCAAATTACCTAAATCAACAAATGATAAAAGTTTAAAATGTCAAGAGGTAAAATTAATTAATTAATTGGTTAATTAATTGATTGGTTGGTTGTATACATGTTAAATGCCTAATCAAATAAATTTATTTAGGGAAATACTAGAAATGTTGTTGATGTTTCAGTTATTGATATTAAAATTGGACAAGGAGAACAAGCCACTACAGGAAAAACGGTAATTAATATTTTATTTTATATATATATATTTATAAACACAATATTTACAGTATTCATGCTAAATTTTTTATAATAAACAGGTCGGAGTTCGTTTTGTAGGACGTTTGAATGCGAATGGCCATATATTTGATTCAAATATGGTCGGAACGAAATTGTTTTATTTTACTTTGGGAAAAGGTCAAGTCATTAGAGGTAAATCAATCACGTTTGTCTGATTAATTTGATTTGATTTTTAAAACTATTATTTATTTTTTTGTCGATTTAAGGTTGGGATATAGGAATGAATGGAATGTGCGTTGGTGGTGAAAGGAAATTAATGATTCCACCTGAACTTGCATATGCTGATAAAGGTCTTCCTCCAAGTAAGTATTAAAAAACAACAAATAAATTTTTTTATTATTATTGCTTAATTATAGACAGGGTAATAAATAATTCAATTATTAATAATAATAAATTATTTATTTGTATATTTTAATTAGAAGTTCCTAAAAATGCAACATTAGAATTTGATGTAAAACTAATGGAAATTAAATAATTAAAATTTTTTTCTTTCAATAATAATGAATTAATTCTTTCCAAAAAAATGTTATATTTGAGAGATTATAACTAGTCAATTAAATGCATATTTTTTCGTTTAAATTAGATTGATCAATTACATCCTTTTTTCTACTCTCTATTATATGTGTATATACAGTATATATATTAATCAGGTAAAGATAATAATACCGTAAAGTCTGGAAATATAGCACCCCCCGAAAGATAGCACCCCCTACTTTAAAACAATTGAGCGTCAATATTAAAAAAATGTTACACATATGTAAAAAGGGATGCTATCTTTACGGTAATTTTATCTAATAACGTTAATAGATATATAGAAAGTATCATTTCATTATTTTAACCTTTAAACATAATTGCCTCAATAGGAGTAGTATATTAAAAGCAGAGACAGTGGCAGTAGCATGAGGATGAAACAGTAATGTTGATACTATAAATAATAATTATTGCTCTCGCAAAATTTTTAAAATTATTGTTCAATAAAATCAAATTTCCATTATGCATGCAAAAGATATTATTTTGAGGTGACTAGATTAAGACCCTAACCTTTTCTCAGAAAATCATTGTAAAACAAGATAAGTGATAAGTAAATGTGCTCATGACTGTTTTGATATTGATCCAATTCCAACCCACAGGAAATTAATAATCATAATAATTGGATTTTAAGTTTCGAGATAAAATTAAACAACTCACAAATGACCGGTAAATACATGATTTTGCGATTATCATTAAAATATTGTACCCATCGCTTACTCTATCCTGCCAATTATGAATGGTGTGTCCAAAAGCTACATCTTAGATTTAACTGATACGACATTTTTTGCTAAATGGACTGGGATGAAATGCTTCATCAAGTTCGAGCTGTGTTTGTTGAACACTGAACTCGAAAATTTGATAATGTATATCAAACTGTTGTCTTTGAACATTTATAATAATGTGTTAATTGAAAATAATGCACTCACAATGAAAATTATGTATTGCGACTTTTGTAGGACGATAAAAAAAAAGGTTCGGAAAGAATTATGAAACGACCTTGTGGGAGATGGTCCCCTGAGCTTTTACCAACACCAGGATTAGAAGGTTCAAAAAAAAAAAATGTTGAAATTTTTCCAACTTTTTAAAATAAAGTTTATAATCCACACACGGTCAATTGTTGTCTTTCGATATAATTTCTTGATCCAAAACTACCATCATAATTGAATTTAATTCAACACTTTCATAATAATCACAAATTATTTAAGCATTGTCCACAAGTAATCTTCGGATGCTTTTCACCTTTATCTAATCTCTTAATTCCCTCAAAGGTCATGCTAAATGCACCATTAGGGCTTTTTTCCTATCTGTTCATCTTCATCAATAAATAACATAGTTGACCTGTTCTCATAAATAAATTCACTTGTCTGTTAATTTTCTAAATGCATTAATTCAATGATGTCATCTTGGAATAAAACATTTCAAATGTGAGTATTCATGATGTACAAAAAGCTTTTTATCAAAATAGGGACACACAAAACATCATCTTGAATAAATCTGATGTGCAAAAACATTTTGTCATGGATATTTTTTTACAGAAAGGAGACCAAACGCAACTTCCAACATTTTTAACAAAGAACATTTTGAGCTTAAAAACTATACCCACTACGCTTGAGAAAATTCAAAAGTTCATTCAGACTTTCTTTGTCATTTGGCCCCTTTCTATATACATTATCTTGGGAATAAAACAATTTCAAATGTGGATATCCAGAGCTTTTTGCCAAGTAATTTTACAAGCACACACCTTGCACCAAATCTGAACTTCAAAATTTGGATTGAAGGATAATAATTAGTAGTCAGATGCCTTTATAATGTGTGATATTTATTTAATTTTAATTTATCCAATCATCCATATTTTGTTTTTAAAAAAATGAATTTAAATGGTATACGTGTATATTAATTTTTTTTAAAAAAATTAATTAGTTCGTGTTATGGTTGTTTTAATAGATTGTTGGGTATATATTGATAATAATGATGATAAAATCAAAAAATCATTATAATAACAATAATAATAATGAAAACTTAAGTGAATATGATTCAAATGGTGATAGTTAAATTGAAATATATGAAGATGAAGATAGTAATAATAATCTTGGCAATGAGGATGGTAATAAAAATAAAAGTAACAATAGATTTTTTTGTGCAGCTCCAAATTGTGGTAAATTTTACAAGTCTAGATTTACACTTAACAAACATAGTAAAATTCGCAGTAACAAAAATTTCAAACGCGAGTATCCAGGATATGACAAAACATATTGTAAAAAAAGTAATTTATTACTATATACATACAAAACGTCACTTTGGAGAAATTTCAAACGCGAATATCAAGAATGTGTGAAAACGTTTTATCGAAAAGAAGATTTACTAAGACACACGAAATGTCATCATCTTGCAATAAAAAATTACAAATGTGAATACCGAGGATGTGACAAAGTATTTTCCAATAAAAGTAATTTACATAAACACAATAATATGGGATAAAAAATTTCAAGTGTGAATATCCAGGATGTGGCAAAGCATTTCGTGAAAAAGGAGGATTAACAATTCATACAAAACATCATTTTGGAATAAGAAATTTCAAATGTGAATATCCAGGATGTACAAGTGCTTTTTATCGAAAAGGTGATTTTCAAATACATACAAAACGTCATCTTGGAATAAAAAATTTCAAATGCGAATGTTAAAAGCGTTTTTTTCGAAGAGGAGATTTACTAAGACACAAAAGATTTTATCATGGGATAAAGAATCATCCATGTAATGTATTTGGATGTGACAAACAATTTGTTACCAACTTGAACTTAATGAACATAAATATAGAGATCATTATTAACGACAAAGTTAAACTCATACGATGCAATTTATCCCAATCATGCTTGTGTAATTAATTACATTGATCAATGTGAATTATAATAAAAGAAATTTTAAATGGTTAATTAATGTTAACAAACGTAAATTTATCAGAATGTTTATTACTAACGAGTTAGTTTTATTAGCAAATAATTTTGTTTGGTTTATCTTATTTAGTCGAAATTAATTTTTTAATATTTATTAAATTTTATCACAGTTATTTTTCAAGTACATCGAATTTGACAATATAACAATCGAAAATGCAATGCATACATAAAATAAAATAATTCAATTCAGAATTAGAATGTTTTCGGTCAACGAGCCTGTGTTGAATTCTAATTCCGATAACATCACTCTTTCAGAATTGAGTTCCTGCAAAATGAAAATTGTATCTTCCTCTAAAAGACTATCCAAGAACAGTTGTTGACATAACGTTGCATGATCTGTAATTAATTATGATCCGTTAATATAAGAGTAAAAATGTCTAATTGCCCAAATGATCCCGAGACATTCTAGTTCCATAACTGAATAATTCTTTTCTCCAGTATAAGCAATTACTTTTTCGTCTCCATGATCATCTACTTGTGCTAGGATAGCTCTTAATGCAAAAGTTGAAGCATCAGTTGCTAATACGAATGATTTCTTCTAGTTAGGATTGGCTCTGTGGTCAACTGTCTTCTTAAATCTTCTTGTTGTCTCTTTTCATCAAGAGTTCTGTTAAGGGTGTTCAAAGCACTCGAGCGACATTAATTGGTATAGAAAAGTTTTCTACCTTTTATATTTTTGCCAAGTCCATTTTTATTCCATCCTTTCCTATTATTATATCTCCTAAAAATTTTTCTTTGGGTTTAATTTCAATCCAGCTATCTTAATACATTTGAAAACATTTCCAAATGTTGTGGATATTCTTCTCATGTCTTAAAGTGTATATTACATCACGCAATTATATTACCACTGTTTTCCACAGCATGTCCCGAAGGACGTTAGTTAATCCAAAAGGCATTACACTGAACTCAAATAATCCATAATGGGTGATAAAGGCAGTCTTAGGAATATCTTCGGGTTTCATTTCTGCTTGCTAATATCCACTAGCCAAGTCCAATGAAGAGAACCATTGTGACTCGTGCAATGTTTTCAATATGTCATCAATTCTAGGTAACGGGTAAGAAACCTTTTTAGTATTTTTATTCAGATCTCGATAATCTACACAGAACCGTAATTCATTATCTTCTTTTCTGCCAACACTACTCATGAAACATAATCACTATTTGATTCACGAATAAATCCAGCTTTCAACATTCTCTCTATTTCTTCCGGGATAATGTCTAATTGGTTTAGAGTCTGTCAAAGCAAGGCTCTGGATTATTAATATAGAATCATTTAATTAATTAAATGCCGAATTATTCGATCCTTTTTGTTTGGAAACCATTTTTTCTTCCCTTCCTCCTCTCCTAATTTTTCAACGCATGATTACAAACCATTTTTGAATTGATTTGGTTTAGTTTTATATTGTTTTAATAATATGTTGAATTAATAAAGGTGGTAAAGGCATTTTCTCACGTTTAACTTGTGGTTTGTACTATGGTCCCGGACAGTCCAGGACATTTAAGAAAATGAGCAGACACGTCCACGTGACAAATTGTTACGTGGACATTTTTGGACATTGTTCAGGACATGTCCCATTGGGTTGTTAGATATTAGTATAATCACAAGCAAGGGGAAATCAAATAATAAAATCAAATAGTAAAGATTTTTGTCGATCATTTTTATAAATGCATAGTGGACATTTGATTTCATTGGCTAAATTATGTGACGAATAAGGTTTCCGGTCGAAACTGCTTCTATTAGTAGCCGAAATTGCCCAAACTACTTTTTGTTATTAGCCGAAATTGGGCGAAATTATTTTAAAGTTGTTTAAGTTAAAACAAGTTGATTCATATAGTTTTTTAATGTTCATGCTTATAGAAAATGTTGAGAAGCCCAAATTGCCCAAACTAGTTTGGGCTTTGAGAAACAGTTTGGACCAGAAACCTTAGTTTGGATAATAAAAAAATGGAGAATTGTAGGTATTAAAGACTAGTGCTGTAATCCAAAAAAGGA